TTTTGAAGTTTTCCATGTCCTGGTCACTAAATTATCTTGTCAGCCCCAACTCTTTATGATAGATTAAAAAGAATGCATCAAAGTGATTTACTGAGAAGCAATGATAATGTTTTACTAGAGTTATATATTACCGTTTATCATTTTCTCTTTTTTCAGTAAGTGACTAGAGAGCTTTCTGTAGTTTGCTACATTAAATAATTCTTACTGTTAGTATTATTATGGTACGAGATTTAAGCTAATGAGACAGTCATTCAAATCATAATATATAGAGAGATATTGTATGACATTAGTTACTAGAGTTAGTATGGGAAAGCTTGATCACCTTTTCTGGCTAATGGAATTTGGCTTTTGTACTGACAGCTCTGGACCCAGTAAAGTATATTTTCTTTTTCTATATGATAAAAAATCATTGCAGTCACTAGATCTTAGGTGAGTATTACTGAATGCTTCAGAAGTAATTACTTAGGATCTAATGACTGCAATGATTAATTTACTCTCTAAATAGTGTTCTATTTAATAAGAATGTCCTTTAAATATAGAAGATACTTAGGTAACAGTGATTACACTTCACGTACAAATGCAAGTCCATCATCTCATATGGAAAAAAATGGAACTGTTAAATGAAAAAAAATAGGGCAGTATGCAAATTGACTTCATAACTATAACAGTATTCTTATATAAAAATTCCTATTTTTAAAGAATTTTAAACAGCCATTTATTTCTGAGGGACACATTTATTTTCTATAAACTTAATTTATATCTTGATAGTCAACATCTTTTCTAACTCATTTAGGAAACAGGAATAGTTTTGCTCTGCTTTCTTATTTGATTACTCATTTTGTTTTAGTTTGTTTTCTTTAAGATTATAACATTCTTTCTGGGCTATAAGTCTGTGAGCATTTAAGAACATTACATAAGGCTGGATAATGTATTGAGTATCCAAGTGTTAGGCAGATCTGACTTTAGTACCAGTCCATTATTTAAATGATATTACTGAATCACTTTAAGAAAGTTACTTAATTTTTATAAACTTCAGTTCTCTTCTTCTTAAATGATTTTAACAAGTATCTATTGTTTTTGAGAGATTTGAAATAATGTGTTAGCAGTGTCTTAAGCTATGGTCGGTAAAACACACAAATTGTCTTTTCCTAACAGTCAATTAGTCCTTTGAGGTGTGTTTCTACATGCAGTGTTAAACATTTTTTTTATTGTACTTTAGGTTCTGGGGTACATGTGCAGATCGTGCAGGATTGTTGCATAGGCACATACATGGCAATGTGGTTTGCTGCCTCCACCCCCTTCACCTATATGTGGAATTTCTCCCAATGTTTTGTTGAAACACACTGAGCCAATGAAACATTTCAACCTGAAAATATCAAGTGGTCAAGTAGGTTTTTGAGTTAGCCAAACAATCATTTAAATATTTTTCATTCTGTGGGCTTAGTACTTGGTTTCTATAGCTTTGCAAGGATATTGGGAGAGAGGCATCATTTTATATTACAGACCCTAATATGTGTTCTCCCGCTTGGGGTAATGTTTATTTGCAATTAAAATTTCATATTTTTTGAGAGCTGATAAACTTGTTTAATTTATTGCATAGTATTTTAGAGTATAAATATATATTTGACTTCTTGTTCCATTTAACGAATTTGTATAATACATAGATTTTAGCTTTTATTTTTATGGTGTTTTCAGCTTGTTTACTTTTAGTCAAAACCGAGCAATGTGACCTAGTGAAAAGAACCTTAAAACTAGAGTTTAAAATTTAACCTTTTTTTAAAGATTAATTCACATTAATTCACTTATGATCCTGGACCAAGTTATTTCTTTTTCTTCTTTACTCCAGCTTTCAATAAAGATCATCTGAAAAAAATTTTCTTTTAAAAAAAGTCTTGTTGACATTTAAAAAACAAATGAGTTAGTGTAAATTTGGAAGTTTAACATTTTTAGATGCATATATACCTTCTTAAACTGGATATTTCTAAAGTACTCTGAATAATTTTAGAAATGTAATATTGTGTTGGGAGGAGGAATCACAGATGGACTGCATGAGTAATATCTGAGTTTTTGATAAAATACAGCAATAACCTGGGCTTACAGAAAATGAAGGCTTCATTGGGGCATATGTCTCTCATCAGGCTGTAGCAATGACAGGTAATTTAAATCAGTGTCAAAGTATTTGGAAATTTTAGAATGGCTTCCAACTACAATGCTACAAATTGCTCGTATATGAAAATGTGTACTACCACACAAAGTATCCTACAACTCAAATGCTTTCCACTATGGTTCAATTTTATTCCTTTGTCCATATTTCTCTAATTCATTTTGTTCTTTCTCATCAAATTATGTCTGGATTTCCTCATTTAGAACTTCACATTTTATTTTCAGCATCTTACAAATCTGCAACATTCTGTCTTATCCTTTTATGTCATAAGTTAGATCTATATTATATTTTGTTTTGAGAATTATTGCATGTAATTTCCTCTGTATATAACAAAATAAGACTTTTATGTAATTATTATTTATAACATGTAAATGTATGTCATATAGGTTTCCAATAAATATTTCATAAATGCTGAACAAATGAAGTCAATAAAAAAATGAAGCGACCAGTTAATTAATCATCCACAAATATTTCTGAAGCATTTACTATGTGTAAAATATGTGTTAATGCTTAGAATACAAAAATACATATCACTGCTTCAGCTTTTTAGGAACATAGGTTTATTAGAAGGGTCATATAACCTGTAACTATAGCTTTAATATTTTCAAAATCAGATGGGCGTGGTGGCTCATGCCTGTATCTCAGCACTTTGGGAGGCCAAGGCAGGCAGATCACAAGGTGAGGAGTTCCAGACCAGATTGGCCAATATGGTGAAACTGTGTCTCTACTAAAAATAAAAAACAAGAAATTAGCCAGGTGTGGCGTCTGGCACCTGTAGTCCCCGCTACTTGTGAGATGAGGCAGGAGAATCCCTTGAATGCAGGAGGCAGAGGTTGCAGTGAGCCGAGATTGTGCCACTGCACTCCAGCCTGGGTGACAGAGCAAGACTCTGTCTCAGGAAAAAAAAAAAAAAAGTTCAAAATAACATAGAGGCTATAGAGATTGGGGAGTGGGAGCAGTGAAAACCTTTCACTGGACATAAAACAGTTGAACTAACTCTTGACAAATTAGGACAAAAGTTCCTAGACAGAAGATAGAGAATAAAGCTAATGTCATGTTCATAAAGGGTAACGCTTTTGAAAACAATTATAGTGTTGGCAAATAAGGAAGATGTAAATTTGCTAGTTGATGTTTTTAGTCTTCATATATATATATATATACATATATATATATATATATATACACCAGTTACAAATTTTAGCTAAAATATTGTGATTATTAGATTTCTTTCTTAGAAATATAACTTTGGCAGCAGTAAACTAGTTTTTATTAGCGTAAACTTTGGGGGTGGGAGGAGAATCTGTATCTTGCAACCATCCAAGCTGGTCAGCAGACTGTTGAAATATTATAGATGTGTGAATGAAAATGGAAAACAACTAGTTTAAAGGTGAAATTGTCAGGAACTGGTGCCCCTTTGAGTAAGAACATTGAGGCCAAGAAATACATTTTCACTCATTTAAATAGTGAAATTATAAAATTTAGGGTAGACATACTGGATCTGGAAGAAATTGTTTTATGAGTTTCACATTTTATGAAATAAGAAAAAAATTAATACAGAATGATGAAAGAGATGGATGTTTGACGGAATGCCATGTCTTTAGTTTATGTTCATGCTAAATTAAGAGCTGTGCATTTAAGAGGAAATAGCATATAGGCATCCATATTAAAAGACAATGTAATCTGGATGCATGATGTGTCTTCATTAGGAAACCATTCTAGGTAGCCATCTCACAGTGCATGGGTCCTTTTGCTATATATAATTTCCACTCTTTGACGTTGTATCTTAGTGTTATGGCTTAATTGACACACATTTTCAGCACTGGCCATCACTCTTTTTTTGTTCACCGTTGATACCCACAGTGCCTTGAATAGTGTCTGCAACAATCACCGGCCAACCTGTGGATGTCACTGAATTGATGGATGCATGAGCAAATGATTTCTTTATAGACTTGTATTTGGTTGAATGAATTACATGTGGTTTTCATTGCACATTAGTAAAGAGTCAAATGATGTCTGTTGATTGAAAAGTAGTACACCTAAGGCAGCATAACATTGTGAAAGAATTGTGGACTAGGAAGTTAGAGGATCCTCACCTTTAATTTTCAATTTATACCATCTGAGTTTCTTCATCTGAATATGACAATAAAATGGACTACTTTATAGAGTTGTTGGAAGTATTACAAAATAACATACAAAGCAGGTTGCACAGTACTTTTTACCTGTTAAATCTTTATTTATATTTATGTAACTTGGCTAAATGGCTTGTCTATGTGTGGCATGAATGGTCAGAGACTAGCTTGGCCCTTTTTATAACAAAGTTATACATCACCTCAAAAATGAAGCAGTGTATTTATGTTAAATAATTTAGTTAAATAAATCAGAGGCTGTCTTTCAGTATCATTTTTGCTTTTCTTTGGTATTAATAAAAATTGTGTATTTTTGTACATTTTTGGAAGTAAAAAGAAGCCATGGAACAGAAATGTATCAGGAATATTTGAAATACATTTTGCTAATCAAAAAAAAAGTGCATAAGCAGGGAAAACTAATAAATGATTTCAAGAAAGTTATGAGAAAACATAAAGCTCATTTGGATAAAAATACTCAGCTCTAGAAAACGGTGCATTTAAATAAAGAAAGGATAATAGCATTTGAAGAAATATGAAACCCAAATTTGTTCTTATTGTACATCTCCCTTCTATTCACAAGGAAAAAAATAATAAGATTGATTGCAATCAAGATTGTCTTGTGAGGCTGAAAAAGAGAAAAGAAGTTCTGGTACTTACTGATGTACATTCACATTTTGATATGGGGAAATTATTTTATTTTTGTTTTATAGATTTACTTGCGATTCTTGGACTATGAGATGCAGAATTCAAATGAATGCAAGAGAAATTTTGTGGCTGTGTATGATGGAAGCAGTTCCGTGGAGGATTTGAAAGCTAAGTTCTGTAGCACTGTGGCTAATGATGTCATGCTACGCACAGGTCTTGGGGTGATCCGCATGTGGGCAGATGAGGGCAGTCGAAACAGCCGATTTCAGATGCTCTTCACATCCTTTCAAGAACGTAAGATTCTCTGCACTTGACTGTTTGTCCTTCATATCTGCCGTATAATGCCAGTTTCACAAGCTGTTAATAGTGTTTTCTTCACACAGTTTGAGCACAGCAGGCTATTCTCTAATACGCATTGTTTAAACCACTAAGATTCCCTTTTCTCATTTTGATCTATTGATGCGAGAGAGTTACATATTACATTTTGCTTACTAATTTCAACGTATTCATCATAGCCTTAAGGTAGTTCACACTATTCAGCTGGGAAATGATGAATTTTGTTTGTCTTTGGTTTAGCTCTTAGGAAGCATGTGGAACTCATGCAGCAGCTTCTGATGAAGTTTGGGTTTAAATCTTTAAAAAAAAACTGCATAAAAATATTTGGTAGGTTCTTTTTAGTAAGCTTCTCTTACAGTCCCATTCATTTCAAGTAGATTTGTGACTTCAGAGTTCCAGTTAAAGTACGTATGGAGAGAGAATTGCTTTGGTGGATAGTAAATAGGAAAAGTTTCCGAAAATATTTAAAACAGTGCAATCGGTGATATCCAGAGTCAAGTGCAAATCACAGAAACTTTAGAAAATTATATTCTAATAAATAATGAGTCATATTAACAGATATATTTTGAATATTTGTTAGAAACTGAGTATTTCATGTGTTACAAATGTATGTGAATAAAAAAGAATTCTGAGAAATTTAGCTTTAAGAAATAAATGCCTTGTGACAGAAACATTCGTGTGGCCAACACACATATAAAAATGTTTAACATCACTAATTATTAGAGAAATCCAAGTCAAAACCACAATGAGAAAACATCTCACACCAGTCAGAATACCTGTTAGTGAAAGTCAAATAATAACAGATGCTGGTGAGGTTGAGGAAAAAAGGGGAAGACTTATGTACTGCAAGCAGTTTGGCAGTTTTTAGAGAACCTAAAACAGAATCATCATTGGACCCAACAATCCCAATACTGAGTATAAATTGTTCTGCCGTAAAGACACGTGCATGTGTGTGTTCATCACAGCACTGTTCCCAAATTATTCCCATAGCAAAGGAATGGAATGAAATGAGATGCCGATCCATGTTAGACTGCACAAAGAAAATGTGATACATATATACTGTGGAATACTATGTAGCCATAGGAAAAAAATGATATCATGTACTTTTCAGCAACATGGATGGATCTGGAGGCCATTATCCTTAGCAGTCTAATATAGTAACAGAAAATTAAGTACCACATGTTCTCACCTATAAATGAGAGCTAAACATTGAGTCCATGTGGAGACAAAGAAGGGAACAACAGGCTCCAGAACCTACTTGAGAGTGGAGGTTGGGAAAAGGGTGAGGATCATAGTATTTCTATTGGGTACTATGCTTATTACATGGATGATGAAATGATTTTTAGACCAAACTACCATGACACACATTTTACCTATGTAATAAATCTGCACATGTACCCCGAACCTGAAGTAAAAGTTAAAAAAAAAAACTTTAAATGAAAAGAAATAAGTACCTTGCATTTCACAAATAGTTGTTTTTTAGTGATTAGAAAACACAATACACTATTTTTGAAATTTCAATGATTTCTCTTATTTTCAGCAGCAGAGCAGCCAATGCTCTTTTAAATGCATAAATGTTAAATGTGTTAGACAGTTATTTTGTATAACAAATAAATAGTTTTGGCTTTAAATTCCCTTTTAATTACCTAGTTGGGGAATTTTAAGACACCAGAAATGCTAAATGTTACTCAGGCTTTCTAAGTCTTGACACCATCTTCCAGTGTATCAAATCTCTCTCTCAGCTTTATGTTGGATTTAAACAGTATGCTGCTATGTCTTTGGTTCAGTGGTTGATTAAAATGTTAGAGGTACTGCATTCTTATCTCAGCAAAATATTTGAACGAAATGTTTTCACTGTATTGACAAGCATATGAAACTCAGGCTACAAGACAACACCTTTGGTTGTTGAATACTCTACCAACTTCAATGAATTACTCCTTCAGTGAGGGTATCTCAGGGTTCTGTATTTATTCAGTATTCTTATCAGTCTTGGGTAATAACATACTGAGAACTCGTATGTAATTTAAATGGCAAAACTATGGAAGGGAAAGCTAATTTATTAAATGATATAGTCAAGACTTCTAAAAAATAACAAAAATCTGCAATTTTTATCAAAAGTATACCATAAAATTTAATAGAGATATATGAAAAAAATCATATTTCAAAAATCCGCAGCATAGAGGAACCTCTGACTCATAGGACTTTCTTGTAGTCTTATTTCAAACTCAACGTGAGTCAATACTTTATGACTGACAAAATAATCTTAAATGGTATTAGCCTATATTAAAGTTAGTAGAGTAACAATGGAAAAAAGATTTAACTTCATGGGAAGCTGCACCAATCAAAATGCAAAAGGCATAGTCTGTTTTTTCCTGACTGTTATTAATGAGGAGATGGATCACCTAGAGGAGGCTGACAAAGATTTAATGCCAAATATGAAGAAACGCTTACTTTAGAATTTGTTGTTGTTCAAAATGTGATAACTACCTCAGACCTATGTCTCATGGTAAATCTCAAAGATGAGATTTATGTTTAAAAGGTATAGGGAAACTTTTGAGTGCAGTTTAGGGGGGAAATATTTATCTTATGAGTTGTGATATTCAAAATTTGAATAGATACCTATGAAGGATATGAAATATGGATATATGGGTGATTGGATCTCAAATGTATTATGAACTGGCATGAACGGTATAGGGGAAACATTTATGTAAGATAGGTGAAAAGACTGGCTAACATCAAAGATCCCTTTCACCTATCAAGATGGATTAAGTTATATGAGCCTTTAAAAATCTGCATAGATAAGAAATGGTGAACTGTGTATATGGTGCATATATTATTATACATATGTCTATTTGAGATGATCAAATATAGAGTTTCAATGCATGTGATGAAATTATCTCTGGAAGTCATTGAAGTGGGTTGACTTTTCAATGAGTAATCCAAAAGACACAGGGTGTTCTTCCTACAGAGGCACCCAGCCCACTATGTTCTTGCACACTGGACAAATGATCACACTCTTCAAATGATGAGTATTACAACGACATTCTCTGTGATCATCTCATAAATTTGAGTAAGTTTCCACTGAAACAGGTTTATCCTTGATGTCATGTTACCTTCTATGTTGGTCTGAATGGTTGTGTGACACCCCTTCAAAAATTCATATTTAAAAATTCTGTTGCCAAGATGAGGGTATAAGGAGGTGGGGCATTTGGGAGGTGATTAGCTCATAAGGAGAGCTCTCATCTTAGGAGTTATTCCTCTAATAATAAAGAAGGCCAGAGAGCAGCCTTGCCCTTTACAGGTGAGAACACAGCTAGAGAGTTTCATCCATGAACCTGGAGATGGGCCCTAACCAGACACCAAATCTACTGGCACCTGACCTTGGACTTCTAAAATCTAGAACTGGGAGAAACGAAATCCGGTTTTTTATAATCCCCTAATTGATTGTAGTTTGCCATAGTAACCCAAACAGACTAAGACATTGCAGGTGTGTATTTGTCATAATGTTTTACTTTTACTGCATTGACTAAAATTGTGCAGAATTCTACCATTATTTATACCTAATATCAAAGTCACCCTGGGATGAAGTATGTGGGTATAGACTGTACTCACTGAAGTGAAAGTATTCCAGATAAGAGATGAAGACTTCGAAACAATAAAAAGTGGACTTCAATCAGTGCTACTGCTTGGAAATGGGTGGGTGAGAATCATTTTAAGAGGAAGCACAGAGACTTTGTTTAGGGAGTGGTCAAGTTCCTCAGATGGTATTGCCTTATTCAAATAGTAGTGGCTGAGAGAGACTTACATTTTTGTTCTGGCAGATGATTTTGGTACTTGTAGATGGTGATAGTTACACAAACTATTTATGTATATTTTATATATGGCTAATATATACAATTACATTAATGGAATGTATATTAGTGTACATATAACCTAATATATAATTATATATCTAACATGTAACTTTGTATAGTCTAGCATATAATTATGTACATCCAATATATATTTAATGTATATGTGTGTGTATACACACATACATATATATATATATACACATATATATATATATATATATATATATAATTACAGGTATTATCTAATATTTACTCCACTCACACACACACATGCAGTAAAGGTTGGAGATGTAAAATCAGTGATCAACCTTGGTCTTACTCAAGAAATAAAAAGCTACCTGGATATTTTTCCTGGTGCCTACACATAATTATATAATAGTATTCCCAGTTCAGTGGTGAAATGCTTAGCACATGCTAGGGCCTGAATGTTTATGTCCCTTCACAACTAAGAGTTTTGAATTTTTAATGTGGTTTACAAGCCATTTGTCTATAGTATTTTGTTCTAGCAGCCTAAGTGGATATAGACAGAAAATTCACCCTGATATGTGGGGGTGCTGCTATAACAAATACCTCAAAATACGTGGCAATAGCTTTGGAACTGAGTAATGAGGAGAGGCTGGAAGAGCTTCTGGGTGCATGCTAGAAAACATGTTGTCATGAACAGATCATTAAGGATGATCCTGTTCTGGGCTCAGTGGGAGAGGAGGAGAATCTTGTTAGAGAATACCTAAGTTATTTTGAACAGAATGCTTGTAGAACTATAAATAGTAAGGGTCATTTTGATGATCTTTCAAATGGAAATGAGGAATGTGTTTTTAGACAGTGGAGTAAAGGTCATCCTTGTTATAAACTGGTGAAGAATCTGGCAGATTTTTGTGTGTGCTTTTGTGTTTTGTGGAAGGTTTTTGCTTGTGAGGGATGAAATTGGATATTTTGCTGAGAAAATACCTAGGCAAAATATTGAAAGAACGTTTGGCTCCTGACTGCCTGTCCTAGAATCTAAGAAGAAGTAAAATATTTAGAGATGGAATTATTCATCAAAATGGAAGCAGAAATTAAAGATTTGGACTTTTCTCAGCCTATTTGTATTGTAAAGAATGAGAA